TACTCAAACCCAATGCGACCGACATAAAGCCTCATCAACGACCAACTGAGACCTATGATGATATAATAGTCCCACCGGCCAATGTAATATACATGGTGAAGATAGAGTCCAATGATAACTGGGTAGATAAGGCCGGGGTGGATAAGGCTGCAACAGAATATTGTAAGAAAAACAAATTAAAGAAGCTCCCAATCTGCTATTGGAACCTGTATGGTGAGTGTAAATCTCAAAATTATTTACCAATAACCCCAGTAGCAAATCAAAGATATTATTACTTGAGCTGGGCAGCTATATTTCATCCTGTTAACGCCTGGCATGAAGATTGGCTGAACATGACATTGCCATGGGTATGGGTGGTCCCTGGTTTGCCCCACTTCGAAGGTGACTTTGTAGAGGGGTATACCAGGACTCACGCAGGCCTGATGGGGCCGTATTACTCAGATATGTATGTGCAGAGACTGCCCAAACTAGACAAGCTATTTAGCGCACCAAAAGGTGATTTTAACAAAATTGATGAATGTGTAGCCAAACATATCTTTCTTAGCCTTAATAACTCAGTGTGGGAGAGTAGTGGGGTGTCACCTAGATGCAGATTATGGGAAACAGAAGTAGCAGTCATGTCTACCTGGCGTTATGACTGTACGGAACTAAAGAAAGAAAAGACGATCAAAATATTGCTCCAAGCCTGGCACGAGTATCACCATAGAGATGACTCACGTACTTGGTGGGGATTTCAAGAGGAAGAAATAAGAGAATGGGTGGTCCCTTGTTTAAAATACTCCACTAATTATTGGATCAGATATCAAATCTTAGCTACAGTTTACTCCAAAGAGCAGGACATATGGTCAAATGCTTTATATCGTCCCGACAGATATGTCAGCCCAAGGCCATGGCAAATGTTTTGTAATGGGAAAAAAGATATGTGTACAATTAGCTTGGCCCGCAGGCCTTGTTACGAGTTACCCGGTTGGGATAATTACTGTCGAAATCACTATAATAATGAATTCGTAACTCATGCAGCTGAGGTAGTGTGGAAAAAGTATAGTGACGGAAAGTGGAGAAGATCTGTACCTGATGGTACAAGTTGCACTAACGTCATATTAGGACATAAACTGAAAACTAGAAAGAGTTTTCAGGGAGTGAATGTCCCCTTCGTCTCAGATTCTATGATTGCTCTGGCCGAAGGACATGCACTGAGGCGACGCCTATGTTTTGGTGATGAGTTGCATGGCTACGATTGGGTAGGCCCAAATAAAATCTACTCTAATCTCACATGTCAATATCCAGAAGAAAGTTGGAAAAAATGTGGCAAGGGAGAGGAAGAACATGACTGTGCTTGGTATGAAACTGTTAGTTACACAGTAGGCCGTAAAGTCACGGAAGTAGTGCATGAAATAGGTGAAGTGATCAAGGAAGGCGTTAGAACTATTGAAGGATGGATAGTTGATCTTTTCCTTCAGATCTGGCCTTATTTGGCAAGCTTAGTTGGAGTGATAGCTGTTGCCTTATTAGGACGTGTGGTCCTACAAGAAGGCATCAAGGCCATGTGCCGCCCATGTGGGAGGAACTACAAGCCACTCCCACCAGAACCGGGCGCTGGCTCGGCTTAAAACCAAGAGAGTACGGAAACAGTCTCACATCCGCCCCGGAGCAGCAGAGAGCAGAACTCAAGAGAGCCTCGGAGTCAAGAACATCATGGATTGCCCAACAACCAGTGCTCCAACTGATGTGAGTACATTTTATGCAGACTCAGATAGCACTACGGGCCCCACGCAGACCTCTTGGCCAAGATGCCCATTCCAGCTTAAGGGGAGCACGACAGAATATTTTCTAATAATGATTGCATGGATGTGCTATTGCCACACGGGCAAGTGGGGTAAAGGGCAACTGATGCAATTCCCCGTGGCCTTCCAGGCCTACGCCAAGATAATCGTGACCCATGTTATCATAAAGAGGGCTGAAATAATGCCACACTTATTTGTTACCTATGTCTTGGGAAGGGTCCAGACTTCATTCCGGCAGAGAGTAGTGATTTCATCTTAGCTATAGGCAGATTCCATCGTAGTGACCCTTGAGTGTGTGGCCACACTCACCCCTCTGTCTATACCCATCACAAACTGTGGGAGCACAGCTGGAAGAATCGTGATGGCGGTGATGGAAGGAGCTATAAC